ACGGGATCGCAACCCTCGGTGTTGCTCCCGCACCTCGCTCAGCCAGTGAGCGGCCGGTCTGAATGTGGGATCCGAACCCTCGGCAGGAGCGCTGCAGCGCTTCCCAAGCGGCACACTGTAGCAGTGCACCACCGGGCCGGCCCACTGGTCATCTTTAAAAAAAAAAATGCCTCTTGTTGGCTCCTTTTTCATCTTCAGCTTTCTGTGACCCCTTATAATTGATCTATCAGCCAATGTCACCAGTTAGTCTTTGGCCACCCTACCCTCTCACCTCAAAATTAATCTGCGCATAATGACACAGCCCAAGAAGACATACTTCTCGCTTTAAATCATGAAAGAACGTGTGGAAACTTATTGGAATTTTCTCAGGAAGGAAGAGGAGAGGCTCACACTATACGTGGCAGCCAAAACTCAATCTTTGAATGTTCTCCCCAACCCCTGCCCCAAAGCTCCACTACATACACCAGTGGCCTCAACTCATTTTTTTCTCACCCAAAACTGAAAACGTCCACCTTTCTCCCTACCCCGCCCCTCTTATCCCCAGCCTCAGTTCTTGCCTTCTGAATCCCTGCAGCCCTTTATGTAGGAGGGATCTTGTCCTCTTGTCAATTTTCCCTGTTTTCAATGTTTTTCTGGGTGAGGGAGAAGGGGAGAGGAAGGTCCACAGAAGAGCGGACAAAGATGTGCTGGGAAGGATGGCCATGATTCTTGGTTTGCTCTGGGCAATGGTTTATTTTGATTTTCAGTTAATATCTGGTGTGGCTATTCATCTTTTGAATGATAAACATGTCGCACTCAGATTACCATCTGATAGTATTTTTACAATAGTTATTTTTTGGTTTGCTTTTGGCAGCTGGCCAATGTGGGGATCCAAACCCTTGACCTTGGTGCTGCATGCAGTCCAGGAAGGTCTGCATGGCATGGTCAAGTCTGTTACTCAACGACTCACCCCACCCGCATAACAGAACAGGGGCAGCTCAGTGGAGCCATCTGTTAAGGACTTCAGATAGGAGTGGTTTCTACAGGGGACCAGCCGGTACCTCTGAAACGGCAGCCCAATCACATTGGACAGGGCAAGCAGCAGCAATGCTGTCTGTCACCAGGCAGCATTAATCTCATTCCAGTGCACGGGGACAGTGGGGAGAGAACCCAGTCTAAAGTTATTGATGTCACGCAAGGGGCCCTCTTCCCAGATCTTAAACGTGGCATTGAAGATGTTGGTTATCTTCAGCCAGTGCAGCTGCCCACAGGCGTGGCGCAGCTGGTTCTCCACGCTCCTCAGCTCATCCTACAGTCCCAGCTGTTGCCACTCAAGTGCCCTACAGTCCCTCTGGACCCACCGGTCCAACTGCTGCAGCTGTGCAGTCTCGGCCTGGGCTGTCTGCAGCTCTGCAGCCGCCCTTGCAAGGTTCAAGTCCACATCCTCCAGCTCCTGGGCCAGCCTTGCCTCCTCCCGTTCCAGGTCCCCCAGCTCTGTCTGCAGCTCCTCCTGCCCCACCTGCTCGCTGGTGTCCAGGCAGTGCCTGTAGTCCTGGCTCTCAAGCTCTGTGCTCTCAAGCTCTGTCTCAGACTCCGGGTTATCCGACGGAATAACGCCCCTTTCTCTGATCATGAAGAATTTTCCTATCTGGGGTTTGTCTTTTAAGCTTTGGACATTATTCTTGGTTTGTTTTAACCAGAAAAGTCAGTCTTTTCCTCTGTGGCATCTGGCTCTCCAGTCATTCAAAAGTAGTTCCTATTTCAAGATTATGGCAATAATAACTATCAGGGCTTTGTGTTTCTACGTATAGTCCTTGATTTTTTTTGTAATTTTTCTCTTACTAGAAACATAAAATAAAAATTAATCAGTTCCTTCTCATATTATGTGGCCAGATACAGAAGGCCACGTAACTATACTGATAGGAACAATCCACGATCGGGAAATTCACACACACAGATAATGGAGTGGTTGTCAGGGACTAGGAGAGGCGGGATGGGGAGTGACAGGTTAATGGCTACAGAGTTGATGAAGCTGTTGTGTCTCTAGACAGTGGTGAGGGTTGCACCACATGAGAAATGTACTTCATGCCACTGAATGGTAATTTTGAAAATATTAAAACACTTTATTTTACACAAGGGATATAAATGAAGAAATAAGATGATAAAATTTGGGAGATGCAGGACAAAGACAAAAATGAGGACAAGAACAGTGGCAGGGAAGGGGAAGGACATCTCTGGATTGGGGACTGGTGAGGGTGTTTGTGGGAGCTCTGGAGCCAGGGCTCCCCTGGGTGCCGGTGTTTCTTCTACTTCTTTGGATGTTTTAGGGGTGGTTAGGTGAGCTTCCTCTGGCTCTGTCTAGCTCTTGCTCTTGCTCAGGATCTTATTCTTCCTCTGGCTCAGGCTCAGGATCTTGATCCTGCTCTTTCTCTCGCAGTGGAGCTGGAGCTGGAGCTGAAGATGGCCTTAGCTCTTGGGACAGTTGTTCAGCCTTGGCAGAAACTGGAACTGGAGTGACAACAATTGAATATATCTACATGAGTTTCTATGTCTCTTCCAATGACAGTCTTTCTTTCTGAGAAGCCCAAGTCCAGAGACCCAGCCCCAGGAAGTTTCCCCACACTGCAGAACACGGCATGATTGTTCTGAGTACTCATTGCCCCTGTTCCCAACCTGCTTCTGGAAACTCTGCTCTGTATGGCCCAGCCCAGCCCCCTCCCCAAACCCTCACAGGCACCCACCCTCTTCCTCCTCACTGTCATTCTCTGCCTTACTGGGCTCCAGATGCTCCAGCTTTTCCAGCTGTGCCAGAAGAAGATCAGCCATGAGCTCCACATCTGAACCAGTCATATAGACATGTACATAGGCCAGCAGAGACTTCAAACAATGAAATTCAGGAGGTTCGTGGAAATCAGTGGAATAGAATTCGAGCCAGATCTCTAGGATTGAGGACATGGCACTGGGGGAGACAGGTGGGCAGCAGCATCGGAGGCCTGGCCAATCCCTCTATGCTGCCCTCCCAGGGCTCCCCTGAGTGAGCTGCAGTCTTCTACCCTCTGCCCCTGCCTGACCATAGACCAGCCCTTCCAATGCCCACCCGCAGTATGGCAGCCCTGACAGAGATGGTCCTGGAAACGAAGGAGGGGCTGGCAAAAGCCTCTGTGGGGGGAGCCTTCAATCACTGGTGTGACCACCTTTCCCTTCTTCAGGGAAACCTGACACCCTCCTCTGTCTGGGACACTGCCCCATCCCTATTGGAATGTCCTGTCCATCAGGGCAGGAGGGTGCTGTCTGCTCTGGGCATTACTCGCTGGCACACAGGAGATGTCCAGGAATATATGATGAATGAGGAAACAGAGGGAGTCTCTGCTCCCCTGGCCTTCCCAGCGCCCTTGGAAAACCCCAAACTTGAGCTGACACATGGATGTACTGCCCAAGTGTCCCCATCAAAATCTGCATCTCCTCTTCCCACTGATCTCTTGACCCTGACCACACTCTGCACCACCAGCACCAGCTGAGCATCCGCCTGGGTGAGCATCCCCGAGTGTGAGCGGGATGCTCTGCACTCTTGCTCTGGCTCAGCATGGGCTCTGGGGGTATGGGCAGGGCTGGATGGGAGGAGTGGGTGCACGTTCTCTCTGGGCTCACTCTGCTCTCCAGCATCTCGCACACCCCACAGTGCCTTTGGCCCCATCCCCAGCTCATCTTGACTCCTTTTCATGCAGGAAAAGCCTGTGCCCTGGGCCCTGTAGCAGGAATCATAAGATGTGTGGGAGCCAGAGTTCTGCCAGCCCCCCCATCCACAGGCCCCCACAGACCACAGACAGTTCTGTGGAGATGGGAGCCCCTCCATCTACACCCAAGCCCCACTCACCATTTTAGCTGCTCCAGGGATCTGCCATCCCCATGAAAATGAGAAAGGATGCTTCTGTACCTAGAGCAGACCAGGACAGTGTCACATCTGCCATATGGTGGCACTACCTGCTTATCATGTATATTGTGGTTGTCTGACCTCTGACTAGAATGGAAGCCCAGGAGGGCAGGGATTGTAGTCTCCTCAGTTCACTGGAATATGGGCAGTGCCGAGAAAGTCACTGCCCATAGTGTGACTTCAGATATATTTGTTGAAAGAATGAACCCCAACCAACTCCTCCCAAGATATCTGGGTGCACCTGAAGACCCTCTGCCAGCCTCCAGTCTCCCTGCTTTGAATACACCCAGAAGCCTACAGAAAGAATCTCAAATGTGAAAACAGTGAAGCCCAAGTCAACGAGGTCAGTGAGGGTGTGACAGAGACTTCCTTGTGGGGGGGGCAGGAATCCTGAATGAGGATAAACGTGGCCCCTCCAGCAGGTATTTCCACAGGGCTGGACTCAGGAGCAGCACTTTCCATTGGGGACCCACTGGCGCTTGTTCCTGTTACCACACACTGAACACAGGTGGAACTGAGGCTCAGAGTGGTGTGGTGACAGTCCCAAGACTCACAGCTGGGAGGCAGCCGAGTGACACTGTGTGATCGAGGGGCAGAGTGCTCACCTGAGGAAAACCAGATCCAGCACCTACTGGGGAGTGGCAAAGTTCCTGTAGGCCAACAGAAACGTGTGCACGTAGGAGTGGTTGCCACGCATGACAGCGGGCACCAGGTGCTCCACCCAGTTCTGCAGGGTGCCTGCTGGAACAGGCCACAACATGTGGGTGGCATCCGGGCTCAGGGAAGAATCATCTTCACTCTAGGACAGGACATGGTAGAGATGCACAGTGACAGCAACATGATCCCTCAGGAGGGAAGGGCTGGAGGCCAGTCTTAACCCCAGGGTGGACATGAGAAGACAGCCTGAGGGCCCAGGGTTAATGTACAAGGTGGTGGCTGCCACCCCCGCAGTCCCCTTTCACCCTCCAGCCATGACCTGAGGTGTGAACACACGAGGACCAGCAGGTTTATAAATGTCTACCCTCTGCCCCTGCCCAGGGAGGGTGTCCCATGTCCCCATTCCCCCCACACACAGGGCAGGAGTGTGTGCGGTCACCCAGGGAGGCTCACAATGCTGGCCTGGCCTGCCCCCCCTCCTCTGGGACACCTGACATTACCTTTGGGGACCTTCTGCCAAACGGCCACAGGAGTGCAGGGCGAGGGCTGACCCAGCGCCGGAAGCATCCGACAAGCCTCTCAGCCCAGGGCTTCCTGGGGCTACCGCCCCGGGACCTCGGGATACAGCACAACATCTCTCTCTGTCTGTGGCCAAGTGAGCTGAGGAAGGGGCTGTGTGTAGAATGTGGGTGCCAGGTTACCAAGATCCGAGTTCTGTTGGGGGTCTGTTGTCACTTCCTGGTACCTCATTTCCTGAACCCCTCCTCTGTGTACAAGCTTGCAAATGCCCCTCTGGGTTCCTGACTGCTGACCCTCCTTCCCCATGAACTCTCTCTATTGCCCACACTTCTACCA